TGAACATTTAGCTGTGGCTTCTACGTGGAGACTTAAAACACATTTTTTAAAAATTGCAGTACAGTTGATTTACAATGTTAGCTTCATTTCTGCTGTAGAGCGAAGTGATTCAGTTATACCCATGTATATTCTTTTTCATAGTCTCTTCCATTGTGGTTTATCACAGGATATTGCGTGTAGTTCTCTGTGCTGGACAGTAGGACCTTGTTTATCCATCCTCTGTATAATAGTTTGTATCTGCTAATCCCAAACCCCCAGTGCTCTCCTCCCCCCAATCCCCTCCTCCCCCTTGACAACCATAACCCCAAGTCTGGTCTGTTTCTATTTTGTAGATAAATTCACTTGTGTCCTATTTTAGAGTCCACATATAAGCGATATCATATGGTAGTTGTCTTTCTCTTTCTGACTTCACTTATTTCACTTAGCATGGGGCTTGCCTGATAGCTCAGTTGGTAAAGAATCAGCCTGCAATGCAGGAGACCCCCGGTTTGATACCTGAGTCGGGAAGCTTTGCTGGAGAAGGGATATGCTACTCACTCCATTATTCTTGGGCTTCCCCTGGTGGCTCAGCTGGTAAAGAATCCGCCTGCAATGCAGGAGACCCTAGTTCGATCCCTGGGTTGGGAAGATTCCCTGGAGAAGGGAAAGGCTACCCACTCCAGTATTCTGGCCTGCAGAATTCCATGGATGTACAGTCCATCGGGTCACAAAGAGTCAGACACGACTGAGTGAATTTCTCTATCACTTAGTACGATCATCTCTAGGTCTCCATCCATGTTGCTGTGAATGGCATTATTTCCTTCCTTTTTTATGGCAGAGTAGTATTCCATTGTCTATATGTACCATATCCTCTTTGCCCATTCGTCTGTTGATGGATACTTAGGTTGCTTCTGTGTCTTGGCTGCTGTGGATACTGGGTAGAAGACGTCTGATTGCTTGTGGATTGGGAAAGGCTGCCCTGCTTCCCACGATCACAGGCTTGACTGGACTTGGTGTGGGTGCAGCAGGCACTGCTGAGCAGTGTCCGTCAGGGGAGCACCTCCGTGGGCCCAGGTGAGCTGGGCGAGGCCGTCCTGTCGGGGCGGTCGGGACGGCAGTCAGGCTGCGGGCCCCCGGGGGTCACAGGTGCTGCTGCTGGTGCTGAGACAGTGGGTGGCCGCGTGCCCGCAGTGCTCAGCCCAGGTTTGATGGTGGGCCAGCACGGCTGTTTTTTTTCTTTTCTTTTTTCTACTTTTTCATGGCTGGGAGAGTTTGTCGGGCGAAGGGAAGGAGCCGATGCCAAGCGTAAGGCGTGTGCCCGTGCACCTACGTGTCTGACTTCCTCCTCTGTTTTCTGAGCGTGGGGAACCTGGCCCTGTGCCTCCCACCACCTCAAAACCGTCGAAGCTCGACCTTTGCTTAGGACAGAGGGATCCCACGTAGAGAAAAGCGTTGTTTAAAGGATGGCTCACCTGCCGTGGTGGCCTCTTTACTGCCCTTCAGGGCGTAGCCCTTTGCCTGCCGTTTTGTTTCCCAGTAGACCAAGGAGGTTTTTCTTTTTTAGCGTTTAAAATTTTTTTAAAATGTTGTTTATTTATTTGTTTATCTTATTTACGCCTGCGCTGTCTTTGAGGCTGTGCGTGGGCTTTCTCTGGTTGTGAGGAGCGGGGGCTGCTCTAGCTGTGGAGCCGGGGCTTCTTATTGCTCTGGCTTCTCATGTTGCAGAGCACGGGCTCTCGGGCGGATGGGCTTCAGTAGTTGCAGCCCGTGGGCTCAGGAGTTGTGGGTCATGGGCTTAGTTGCTCCACGGCACGTGGGATCTTCCCAGACCAGGGATCTAACCTGTGTCTCCTGCATTGCAAGGTGGATTCGTTACCATTGGACCCCCAGGGAAGCTCAGACCATGGAGATTTAAAAGAAAAAAAAAATCAATCTCTGACATTAATGGAAGCTGTTGCCTGCCAGTGACCTCCACTGGAGTTCAGAATGACTTTTTCTCCTCCCTGTGACCTGAGAGCTCACCAAGATCCACTCTTCCCAGATCACCCCCTGAAGCAGAGCAGCCTGTCGGAGGACCTGGGGCTTGGAGGGCTTCTAGAAGCCCCCCTGCAGATGGCCCCAGGACCAAACACTGTTCTGGTCGGAGAGTCGTCTTTTCAGAGCATCAGCTGGTCATCTGTAAAATGGGGTATGAACACCTACTAAAGGGGTTGTTGTGAGATTGATCACTCTTGTAAAAGTGCCCTCTGAACTGTAAAAATTGTAAACTGCAGAGTACTGTACAGATGTAAGGAAGCAATTATTCGTAGTTCCGTAGGCCAGTGTGGGTGTTTACATTTTATGAGAGACCTGGTATTTTTCTCTGAGGGTCGTATACTATCTCTTTTGGTCATTTTCCCATTTTTGACTTATATAAGAAGTATGCCTGGAAATGCCAGCCATTGAAAAATTGCAATGACTTTCTGCTTCGTGACCTACAGTCGAAGTGGACACAGTAATAAGAGTGCTCTCTCTAGGTAGTCTTTTTCTTTCTAAGGGGTAAAAATCATGGACTTGAGTAGGTAGTAGGGCTGCGGCTTTTCAGCTCTGGAACCTCATGTCTTCAGAAGCCAGACCACCTTAACATGTGTTTCTCTGGCCCTTCTTTCTGTTAAATTTGCCTGCCACAAAGTAGGTGCTGTTCTTCATGTTTCTGCGTACCCGATCTCATCGAGTCCTCCCGGCTTGCAGGGTATTATAATCTGCATTTTACGTAAAAAGGAACTGAAGCTCTGGGTCTGCCTGATTCCGAAGGCTGGGTTCTAACCATAACTCTGCAGTCCATGTTGTAAAGGTGCAGTTATTCATGAATTCTCACCAAGGGTCTCCTCCCAGCCGTGCTTCTCCTGCAGTGAGGTCCTTATGCAGAGCTGTGGGCAAGATGTTGCAGGAAACTGCTGGGCTGTCTGGGTCCAGGTTTTGCAGGGCCTGGAAGCTTATGCAATGTTCAGTTCAGTCACTCAGTCGTGTCCCACTCTCTGTGACCCCATGGACTGCAGCATGCCAGGCTTCCCTGCCCCTTCCCTGCAATGCTGGTTTCTCTTTAAGAAAAATAATATAAAAATGTGAATGCAGAATTAGATACAAACATGAACATTTGCTTAAAACAAGAAAAAGAGTCATAACACATCACTAGAGCTTTGGAAATATAGCTCCTTTTCCCCCTTCTGGGCTCTCTGGGGGCAGTTGGCCAGAAAAACTTACACTTGAAAAGGCTTCCTGATCAGATTGGAACAGTGGCTCTTCCTCCCCCCTGCCAGGGTGAGGGAGTGTCCAGCTGCTCACGCTTTGCCCACGCCCACGGGAGGGAGACAGGGCAGGGGATGCTCTGGGTCCCAGGGCTGGGGCCAGGGGACGAGGCTCCTCTTCTGAGCTGAGACCCTGGGGACCTTGGGAGTCAGCCAGTGGGAACAGAACAAGTCCTCTCCCACCCTGAGATAATGCAGATATTTGCTGACCTTTTCAGAATTTTATGGTTCCATGTTTTGTCTTTGTCACATCTAGCTTAATTTGGTGAATGTTTCGTGGTGGTGGTTGTTGCTCAGTCGCTAAGTTGTATCTGACTCTTTCTAACCCATGAACTGCGCACGTCAGGCTCCTCTGTCCTTCACCATCTCCTGGAGTTTGCTCAAACTCATGTCCATTGAGTTGGGGATGCTATCCAACCATCTCATCCTCTGTTGTCCCCCTTCTTCTCCTGCCTTCAATCTTTCCCAGCATCAGGGTCTTTTCCATTGTTTTGGTTCTTTCATATCAGGTGGCCAGTATTGGAGCTCCAGCTTCAGCACCAGTCCTTCCAGTGACTATTCAGGATTGATTTCCTTTCGGTTTAACTGGTTTGATCTCCTTGCAGTCCAAGGGACTCTTAAGAGTCTTCTCCAGCACCACAATTTGAAAGCATCAGTTCTCAGCCTTCTTTATGGTCCAGCTCTCACATCCATACATGACTACTGGAAGAACCACAGCTTTGGCTGGATGGACCTTTGTCAGCAAGGTGATGTCTCAGCTTTGATCTGGTGATGCTTTGTGGTAGGGATCTAATTTATTATTATTTTTCCAGGTTTTCACCAGATGCTTCAGTCCATTTGTTCACTAGTCTACCTTGCCCCACTGATTTGAAATGCTACTTAGACTGTGTATTAGATGATTATTTATACTCGGATCTGTTTCTGGGTTTTCTGTTCTGTTGCATTGACAGACCTGTTTATTTCTGGGCTCTTACTTCCTCAGTCCTTGAACTTCAGTGTATATTTTTATATTTGGAAGGTGCAGTCTTACCTTGTCCCCTCAATAGCTTTTTTTTTTTAGTTTCTTGACTCTTCTCATATATTTCATTATTTCAGGTGATGTTTAGCATCACTTTTTCCAAACTCCAGAAAAAAAATTCTGTTGGGTTTGATTGGATTTGGATTAATTTTAGATTATTTTCTAAAGACTTTAAATCTATATAATATTGTTATGTTTTTCAGAAATGTGGAATTTCTTTTTATTCCATTTTCTTTTTTTTGTGATGGGTGTGGGTTTTTTTTTTTTTTTTTTTTTGGTCTTTCTATAAAGTTTTGATGTTCAGTTCTGGGCAGTGTTTGTTGTTTTAATTTTGAAAGGGCTCTTCTGTCACTCTCATCATCTCTTCTCGCTGGCTGTTGTTGGTCTGTAGGAAGGCTTTTTAAAAAAGAATTTAACTCCTCATCCAACCCGTTTTTGGAGTGGTTCCTGATGACTTTTGAGTCATCAGAAATGCTAGCATGACTGGCCCCTATGGGAGGAGGTCAGGGCCTGGTGACCTCATGGGGCAGGATTCCTGATCGTAAACGCTGTGAGGGAGCCACAGCAGGACCAAGGTTGGGAGGCGCAGAACTAGGGGGATGTGAAATCACCGAGAGCCTTGGCGGAGTGTGACTCAGCGAAGGGTGTATTCCCCTCTAGCGCAGATCAGGCCTCGTATCCTGAGCTGACATGGGACTCGGGGGCCCGCGGCCCCGATGCTGTTCCTGCGGCCCCGATACTGTTCCCGCGGCCCCGATGCTGTTCCCGCGGCCCCGATGCTGTTCCTGCTTGCCCCGCCCGTGCTGTCTGATGACCCACGTCCGTGTCCCCTCCTGGGAGCACTTCTTCCTCTTGGTGGTGCAGGATGGCACCTGCTGGATTTGCCCCGAGGCGTGCGGACCTGGGGTCCCCCTGCTGTCCGGCTGGGGGCCCCGCAGCAGGCGTTACCGCATGCCTGTGCCGCAGGACGTGAAGGTGGGCAGCTGGGACCCCAGCCGCGCTCCAGCTGTGCTGGGGTGGAAGGCCCCACACCCACCCGCTACCCATCTTTCCACTTCTCTTCTGCTCTCATTTTCTGTGCCTTTTTCTGCCTGAGAATTTCCTTCTCCCTGAGGCTTGGTGGAGGTGGCTGTGGTTGGCAGGGTGGTGGGAGGTGGGTGAGCCTCCCTTGCACTCCAGTGAGTGGAGACGTTGTTATGGTCGTAGTATATTCAGGTATTCTGCAAGTTAATAGGCTTGGGTAGGTTGACATGGAAACCTAACTATTCTAAAATTATTTCTACAGATAACTACATTCCCAGTTTCAACTACCTGATTTAGAAACGAACTTTCAGAACAAAACGTGTGGGTCATGATGGCTGTTGTTTTTAGAATTTTGGATCAAAAGGTGCTCTTTGAACATCAGTAGGTGAACCCAATCAAATCTCAGCTGAGGTGTCCCCTAGCAGCTCTGGAGGGCTGTGATTTGAGTCCATTGGCTTGGTTTTTAAGGGTGAGGAAGTCTTGATCAGAGAGTGTGAAGCTGAACAGTTCCTAGTCTGCAGTCAGGCCTGGGAGCCCACGTTGCAGCCGTCTCTCACCTCTGCCTGGATGGAGGAGCACTGTTTTGAGTCCTTGGGGACTTGGGTACCAGTACCTGTTTGGGGGAGAGAGCTGGGTGGGGTGCAGGGGAGCCCCGTGTTCCCAGGGCCCTCAGCCCCACCATTGCCCATCAGATTTCCTACTTGTGACCTCCTTAGAGAACATTTGAAGAGCGGCAGCAAGTCATAGCTTTTTAGAATCGAAAGGTGGATGCTGGGCATACTGGATCCACATTCTCAGTGCCCTCGTCCCTAGAAGTCTACAGACAGTAATTACTGGAGCGGGTGCAGAGAAAAGGGAACCCTCTTGCACTGTTGGTGGGAATGCAAATTGATGCAGCCACTATGGAGAACAGTGTGGAGATTCCTTAAAAAACTAGGAATAAAACTACCATATGGCTCAGCAATCCCAATGCTGGGCCTACACCCTAAGGAAACCATAACTGAAAAAGACTCGTGTACTCCAGTGTTCACTGCAGACTGTTTGCAATAGCCAAGACATGGAAGCCGCCTAGGTGTCCTAGGTGAATGGGTAAAGAGGATGTGGTTCGCATACACAATCGAGTATTACTCAGCTATAAAAAGGAATGCATTTGAGTTCGTTCTCATGAGGTGGATGCACCTAGAGTCTGTTATACAGTAAGTCAGAACAAGCAAGACAACTATCGTATATTAACACATCAGTATGGGATCTAGAAAGATGATACTGACGATTGTATTTATAGGGCAGGACAGGAGACTCAGACTTATAGGACAGACTTTTGGGCTCAGCAGGGGAAGGAGAGGGTGGGATGATTTAAGAGAGTAGCATTGAGACGCATACATCACCATGTGTAAAATACACAGCCAGTGGGAATCTGTTCTATGACACGGGGAACCCAAAGCCAGTGCTCTGTGACAACCTCCAGGGTGGGACGGGGTGGGAGGTGGGAGGGAGGTCCATGAGGGAGGGGACATACATATACCTGTGGCTGATTCTTGTTGCTGTATGGAAAAGCCATCACAATATTGTAAAGCAATTATCCTCTAATTAAAAATAAAATAAAAAATTAAAACAATGTCCTTGATCTGCCTGTGAGGTTAATTTGCTGGAATTTCTTCCTGGCTTTGCGGCAATCTGGAATTCCTTACCTTCAAGAGCTCTAGCAGGTAGAATAGTAACTGCTCTTTTTCAGAACTTGATGAAATTTGTCTTCTCTTGTATCAGTTGCGTAACACACGGGGCTGTTCCTTGGCTGTAAAACGGATCGTGGCGGGTTGCGATGACCTGGCCGCGTTCCCGCTCCCAGTAACGGGACCCCGGCTGTGTGTGTCCCTGTTGTCCCGTGGGCCCTGCAGCTGGGCGGGCTGTCGAAGCCAGAGTCTCTTCTGTGCTTTCTGGGGCCTCCCCCATTAATCTGGGGCTCTTCCCTGCCTCTCCAGAGAGCCCTGTTTCATATTTTCAGAGCTCTCCTTCATGGGTCAAGAGATACAGGATTTCTTCTTTTTTATGTTTTTTAGGAGTTTTGATTTGTTGCCTTCCAGAAACCAGTTTGGATTCCTCTTTGCTGTCTCAGAGTCCTTTCATCTTTTTTTCCTGACCTTTTCCCGTACAGGCTTCTTGGACCTCCTTTTTTAACTTTACTACATGCCTGTTTAAATTATCTTCAATATTTTTATACATAAAGACCTATTAAATTATATATTTGTGCCATATATTCCAAAGGAGACAATGTGTTTAAAAAAAGTGCCCCTGTTTTTTTTTTTTTGTCTGAATCCTGTAGTTAATGTTCTTAAAACATTTTACAAACAGTAAATGATTAAGCCACCTCCACAGTCCTCTGACACATCAGTGTTGTAAAGGCGAAACTCCACTTCATTGCTCTAATGCAGACTTGTATTTGTTTTTTAGACTTAAAAAATTTCACTTAGGGAAACTCTGGGCGTTAAAAGTCAGTTTATAGTATAATTAAACTATTAGTGTATCTAAAAGAGACCAGTAGCAACATTAGACTGTGTCTATTCTTAGGACTGCAAGGAGATCCAACCAGTCCATCCTAAAGCAGATCAGTCCTGGGTGTTCATTGGAAGGACTGATGCTGAAGCTGAAACTCCAATACTTTGGCCACCTTATGCAAAGAGTTGTCTCATTGGAAAAGACCCTGATGCTGGGAGGGATTGGGGGCAGGAGGAGAAGGGGACGACAGAGGATGAGATGGCTGGATGGCATCACTGACTCGATGGACATGTGTTTGAGTAAACTCTGGGAGTTGGTGATGGACAGGGAGGCCTGGCGTGCTGCAGTTCATGGGGTCGCAAAGAGTCGGACACGACTGAGCGACTGAACTGAACTGGACTGATTCTTAGGACTGTCTTTTCTTAATAAGTTGGGGATGGAGGGATGTTCCACGAGCTCGTTTCTCTTCCGTGTTGGGTATCTGCTTTGCAGTTGTGTCAGACATCGTCAGTTTCTGCTCAGCTGTGAGGACAAAAGGGACTGAACTTTCTAAACTCAGCTTCGCTTTGTGCAGCTTCTCCTGGGATGGTTTTCGCTTTGTTGCTTTTTTTGAAGAGTTCCCTGTCTGGAGTTTCCCGCTCAGTCTCTGGACTTTTGTTATGTTGGGAGGTGTCAGTATTTCACATTCACCCCCACCGACCTGTCTCCTTGAGGCGACAAAGCAAACATACAGAGACTTCTTTCTACCCCTGGCCAGTGTCTGAGCCCTGGAGGGCTGGGTTAAGGTTCGTGGGATTGCCTAACAGTTGGGATTAGTCCCTGAGGAAGTGACTGAGGAAGTGTGTTTATAAAGGGGCTGAGGTAGCCTTTAGTGGGGTTGTTTTTCAGACAGTTTGAAAATTCCAGTCATCTGTGACTTCCCAGCTTGCCTACAAAGGAAGCCTCCTTACAAACCTGCTGAGTTCTGCCTAGTAATTTTCCCTGGTTTAGATGTGCATTCACTCTTCAACATGACTTTTTTCCACACCATTTTTTTTTTCTGCTCAAACCTCCAGCATCTCCCACTCTTCCTTAATATCAGCTGGTCATCCTGCTTCTTATTTCACTTGAAGTGGATCCATTTGGAAGACAGTGATTCTGTCCTTTCAGCTGAAGCTACCAATCCACCACACCTGTACTTCTAGACTCTGATTGCCTCCCCGTTGAAACACACACACTCTTACCCGTGTGCCTGTCCCAGGCCTGTCCTCCCAGTATTGGGTTCCAGCCCCTCTCACTCACTGAGGGACATCTCTCTAAAGCTGGTCCTTCTCTCCTGCATCATTAATTTTCCCTCTTTCCTGGACCAACCCCCTCAGCATTCAGAAATACCTTCCATCTGAAAAAGATGTACTCTTGAGTTAGAACCAAAATCGGGTGGTATAAGATAAATAATAACTGAAATAGTTAGAAATATATTAATAAAATCTGATACAATTAAAGAAGCATAATACGTTATTGTGAAACTGCTACCAGCCCAAAGAATTCTCTAGGATCTGAGTTACCTGTTTCTTTCTCTTGACAGTTCTGTACTATCCTCACTAGTTAAAGGGATTTATTATTATTATTTTTAATTCAAAAGAATAAAGTGTCTTCTGAAAAAATGCACACACACACACGTGAACCCAGTCTGTACAACCCTCTACTTTCTCCTCCCCTTTCCTGCAAGACTTTTCAGAAGAATCACCTGCATTCTCTTCCTTCCTTGCATCCTCATTATTTGGGCTTTTATCCCCGTCACTTTACTAAACAGGTCTTACCAAGGTCACTGCTAACTCTTACATTGTTCACTCCGGCAAGTGGTTCTCAATCCTGGTCACGCTTGATCCACGGGCAGCCTTTGACTCCACCCTCCGCTCCTTCCTTCCTGGTTTTCTTCCCTGTGGTCCAGGGTCCAGCCTTCCAGGCCCGCCCTGCCTTCCCCCTTTACCTTGTGCTGATGGTCCCTCTTCTTCTTGAGTCTAAGCTCTGGGCTCGGTTTTTGGGCCCCCACTTCTTGTACCTTACAGACGTTCTTGTCTGGTTCCATGGCTTGGTTTCATCAGATGTTTGTTTTTGTTCTTTCATTATCTGCTCCTTCTTGTGCAACAATATGTGTCAGATCATCCCACGTTCCCTGCAGGTTCCTGAGGCTGTAGGTGTATCAGTTTTGTTTGATAGTTGTTCTCTCTGTCCTTCAGATTGGGTCATTTCTGTTGATCTTCAAATTTACTGACTTTTCTTTTGTCATCTCCCCTCTGCTATTGCGACGACCCTGTGAATTTTTGATTATAGATCTTCTAGTTTTCAGTTCTGTAATTTCCATTTGACTCTTTCCTGTCGTTTCTCTTTCTGTGCTGGGAACACCCAACTTTCTGTTGATTTCAAGAACGTTTACATCAGGAAACACAGCTCCAATAGCTGCTTTAAAGTCTTTGTTCGGTAATGCTAACATCTGGGTCAAATGGAGTCACCATCTGCTGATTATCTTTTCCCTTGGGAACTGCTCACGTGTCCCTGGTTCTTTGTACATGGGGTAATTTTCCTTTTTCCTAAACATTGTGAGTGTTGTGTGTGTAAACACGGAGTCCTGTTGTAATCTAGGAGAGTGCTGTGTTTTTTGCCTGTTTCTTTGTTTTAGCAGGTACTCGACATGGTTAGGTTAGGACACAGATCCTGTCTCACCCCCTCTTAGTGGTGGTTTCAGCGTAGTTTAGTTTTCTAAAGTCTCTGCTGTCTGTTTTGCATCTGTCCTGCATGTATGCAGCTTGGGGTGAGTCCAAGAGTCGGATGGAATTTGGGGACCCCATTGTCTAGCTCTGTCCACTCTTTGGCCCCACTTACACTAGAGACAGGCAGATGGGCTTCCTCCTTGTGATTGATCTGGCTGTGAACCTCTGTGACTGTGGCCCAAACTTGGGGACAAAGGAAGATGCGGCAGGGAGAGAAATGGGAGGGCTTAAGCCTTTGCATGTTAACTTTTCCAAATTCGACTCCTTCTCACAATCTGCCTGTTTTTTTTTCCTCCAGTTTTTCATTGTGGTGAAATACACATAACATAAAGTTTGCCATCTTCTCTATCTTGAAGTTTACAGCTCAGGGGTATTGCATGCATTTGTAATTTTGTGCAGTTATTACCACGGTCTGTCTCCACGACTCTTTTTGTCTTGTTCAACTGATGTCAAGAAATACATGTTGAACGAGCAAACCAAATGACGAGCAGCGTAGTCAGAATACTTCTTTGCAGAAAGGAATTTGATACAGTTGCCTTCCAGTCTTCCCCAAAAACAGTGTATTGAGAGAAGGATGCAGATGTTGTTAAGGTGATGCTGGCATCTCCTAGCCTGCCTTGGGGTGCAGAGCATTAGTGCCCTGGTGGAAGCAGATGAACGAACTCTGGACTCTCACACGCTTGGAATGTGAATGCTCAGCTTTCCCTCTTGTGTTTCGAGTGCATCTACAAACAGACGGGGTGGCCACAGCAGTGTGGAAGCCAGCCCCAGCCACGCTGCACTCAGCCACTTTGGCCTCATTATCTTTCATGTTGTTCTGCTATGTCCAGGCCCCTGATAATGATGACAGACTGAGAGCTTGTGTGTGGTAGACAGCCCCAAAGCTGAGCAACTTTAAACAGTCGCTGGCTGCTGTGGCCCCAATCCTCTCCTCCTGTGTTGACGTCCGCTCTTCTGAGACTTAGCCAGGTGGGTCGTGAAGATGCTGTAGTTACGGAGCTCAAACACCTACACCCAGAAACCAGTGATGTCTCAGAAATCTGCATCGCCTCTGTCCTTTGCATCCAGATCCGTTTGCAGTGCAGTGGTTGGAGGGCCACGTGGGTCACTTACAGAAAAGGCAGTTGTCATCCCAGGGTGTGTGTTCTCACTGCCCGTGGGCATGTTGGCCTCTCATTTTCTCTAAGCCTGCATCATAAATTGTGTGCTCTTCTGAGATGGCTTCCTAGATTCACTTCTAACTTCTGAAAGTGGACTCGCGGATGGAAAATTTCAAGGTTGCTTTTCTAACAGTGAGTATGGTGCTTGTGACTCAGAGTCTCCGTTCCCTCAACTATGAAACTGTTACTGCTGATACCTGGCCCCCTAAGGAACCAGCTCAGGGGAGAAAGAACTGATGTCTCCTCTTGTTCTTGATTTGCTTATTTTGAGTTGCCAAGTTTTTTAAAAAAAATGTATTCAGGAATAGTTGATTTACAATATTGTGTTAATTTCTGCTGTATAGCAGAGATTCAGTTATACATATGTATACATTCTTTTTCATATTCTTTTCCATTACGGTTTATCACAGGATATTGAATATAGTTCCCTGTACGTTACAGTAGGACCTTGTTCTTATCCATTCTATATATAATAGTTCGCATCTACTAATCCCAAACTCCTAATCCATCTCTCCCCACCCTCTTAGCAACCAGGAGTCTGTTCTCTGTG